AGTTTCAAGTCAGATGAAATTTCAAAGGTATCTTTTTACACACGATTACTCGGATGATTCTTAAGACTTTTTACATTGAGTTTGCGTTTGAAATGTACCAATTCACGTTTGTAATATGATCATTCTCAATTCTCAGGTACATTTCTCATCCTAATATACTTCGACTATTTCTCTTCGTAGAATTTTTACAAATGTTCGGTATTTTTATAGAAATATACACGTAACTTGCAGGAATAAATTTCATTCCTACAATCCATAAAATAAATAAAAATTCGTCCACTGTAAAACTGTAATAATGCGTTAACGTAGATACTAAGAATTTGCTATCAAATCGAATAATATTAAATTACAGCTTTCCGTTCAGATTATTAAATTTCGCTTTCCACCGAACTAAATATCGGTTTCAGCATCTGATAGTAATCTCATATGCAAAAGCTGAAAGGATCGGAACAGGAACGGTGTACATATCCGCTGACACGATTCTCGCAAAACGCATAGCAGTACAATATCATTTCCGATCGAAAATAATGGTCAGGACATTTGAAAATTTAAAATAGATCACCTGTTTTGTATGTATATATAGTGGATATAATGAAAAAATAACCATGTGTCCTAGATCGCTATAACAACTACTAACAACAGTTGTGAATTATTAATAATTACCGGTTTATGTGATAAATTCTTATAAATTAATCACTTTCACCTTTTCATTCGGTTAGTATTAATAATGGCCAGTTATTATTAACGCTAAAACTAACAGATGGATTGAAATAACCTATCCCTGATTTTTTCTTTTGCAATTATTAAAAAAGTAACAGATGTTTCTTTGAAAAATTATTAGAGAAATTGATTTAGCAATGCACAAACTTCTCATTAATCCTTTTATAACATTTTTTCATTGGTTTGTCTATAAAGATGCTCATGTTATTGGATTGATGCAAAAGTTTTGACGTGTTTTCATAAGAAATAAAAAGCAGAGTTCTCAATTGTTCACTGGTTAAGCCAAAACTAGGTGAAAACGAAGAAGTGTCCTTTGTACACATTATAATAGTTTGAAAACGTATATTATTTGTTTCGAAGAAAAAAACGTTTCTATTAACCACGTACAAAAAACGTCAACAATTTTACATCAACCCAATACAATAACTATAGAACTTTCTTCAACAGGTTTCACCAAGTATCCAAACTGCGAGCACTTTCGAATGAGAATGTAAATATTCTTTGGGATGCTTTCAAAAATAAATAATAAGTACTCTTTTTGCATTATTAAATTTGTTCACGCCGTTATGGGACGATCAAGATCTCCGATCTCCACGAGAGAAATTGAAACTCTCGGGACTACGTCCGAAGGGATGCACGAAAGAGGGATGTTATGTATTCAGGCAAGCACTCAGGCCTGTAGGAAGTCTGCTACGTGACAGCGATGTCAACTTCGAGCAAAGAAAGGAGAAATGGTAATAAAAAAGTAGAAGAGGCTAGAGTGAAATAGAAGGCAGCGAAAATACAGCATAAACGGCCGTTTCTGTTCCGTCTGTCGCATGTGTGCAGCCTATTGTTCATAAACGTACCGCAGGTAGAATGTTTTATGTTAATATTTAATGTCCATAAAGGAAAACTTGTTTTAGTGTAAAAAACCATTTATAATGAGACTGAATGTTGATATGTTGATGAGATCAAGTATAAGAAGCAAGCAGAATGACGTATACGACTGTGTAACAAACGTTATTTAAATTTTTGTTATGTACTCGCGAACAGTTTTTATTTGCCTCTTTTTATAAATTGGATTAAGATTTCTTTATACGAAAGAATATTTAAACTCTGAAAGGAGTGTCGTGAAACTTTTAATTAAACAAAAAATACTTCTAAAACATAAATGTCGCATATTTGTAATTCTCATGTTCTGTGTTACACAAAAATTGAACTTTTAAAAAAATATTAAAATTAATCATGACAAGTGCTGAAGCATTCATGATGCCCAGAATTTTTTTCCTCACTACTGTGTGACTAAATAGGTATTAATTTTAAAAATGAATAACGGAACGTTCAAATGTGCTGTACATATATGATAAAGTCAGTATAAAAATGTTTCTATCCTAAAATATGTATCTAACAATCAAAAAGAGATGGAATCAGTACGTAGAGTCTTCATGTAATGTTTCTATTAAACTAAGTTGTGAACTTCATGTTCTTATTCCGTGTATGCATTCAAAATTCTACAATGCACTTAAAACATTTACGCATAATTATGCAGTAATTGCACTTTACTTTCCTGGTGCAAAACAAACGCTTCACACTTTGATAAACGTAAACAATCGTGCTGTGACTCACTATTCTTAGTAATAACGGTGAACAACAATGAACGGAGTAACAGTAAAAAGTAACTAATCTCTTTATATATAGAACACGTTTTATTAGACATCTTCTGATTAAATTAGAAGTATACACTGCAATGCAATTATTATGTTATTAACAATTCAAAATATGACTAAACTTGGATTGAAGTTAAAAATTTAAAAGGTGTCTTTTGACACTTTCGGTAAAACTAATGTCAATATGGCAATACGACCTGGTGTTACATTAAACGTTATTGTTCGTACTTTTTTAAATAAATCCTGTTCACAATAAACGTAATAATAAATGTGTTTTCTTGATACAAAGTGGATCGTAGCTTGAACTGTAGGTTTCCTAAATGAAACTATTTAATCTATTTAAATAATATACTGACTATTTAGTGCATAATACAGTAACAAACAAATAACTTTACTAATAAATACTAATAAATGATATTTTAAAAATTATTTTCTCAGTTTAATCATTTTTCCCCAATTAAATTCTGCATACTTTCTATAGTTAATTTTACAATCGTTACTGAAAGAGTTGGAAAGCCAATTCAGAATATACGACTAAACTTATAAAATGATTTGAAGTTAAAAATCCAAAAGGTGTCATTTCACGCATTCGCTATAAATAGTGTTAAAAGTCCAATATTTTACTCTTAAAAACGTAACAGAAATTGTAGAGGAAATTTCCGCGTGGCGATCGACGCGCCATTTTCGAAGCGGGCAAGACCAGCGAAGGCGTCAAAAACACCTGATAATAGTAAACACGCGAACAAAGTCTTCACACGGGGAATATAAATCAAATGTAAAGAATGTGTAAAAAGCCATATAGCCGATGCGTCGAAAAGGAAGATAGAAAGGAGAAGAAAATGCAGCCATGAATACACCGGCATTCCGTCTCCTGCATATATAATGTCCATTGTCGTTGCACGTGTTCGTGGCGTGGTTTACGCCCCAGGATTTCTCGTCTCCTTTGCATCAGAGACTGAATAGATACAGAGGGATAGTAACCTTTAAATAATGCCTAGAATTACGACTAGCTACCCTCGAAAGAGACACGGCCAATCGGCGGAACGAGATCCGTGCGTCATTGGAACGCGTGGAAAAAAGGATTCTGTCACTGACACTGTGAACTGTAGAAATCTTTCAAAGCGATAATGTACACTTTCCGAGCGTAAAAATGGTATTACAGTAAGACCTCGTTTAACACGTTGACTGCCACGAAAAATGTTAGTGTCTTATGCATCGCTTATTCTGTCGTGACAAAGATAGAAAGGAGCGATTGTCAATTATTTGGTACTATGATCCTTAGGTTACACAATTATCTAGTTACACTCGACCCTTAATTTATGCGGCACATTTGTACGTGGTAAATTAGAACATTATTTACGTGGTAGTTTTTATATGTGATCTTAATATACGCGTTCTGAATTTATTTCTTTTTTAGATTTAAGTTTATTTTAGGGTGAACATATTAACAGTAAAGTCATTAGTGACCACCAACATTGGGATACTTTCCTGTAATTCTTCTTCTCCATTTTTTTCTTGGTAGACTTATTGTTTACCTGAAGTTGTATTCTCTGCTGCTCAAAGCGTTGAATTTAGTACCTGAGTAAAATGTACTTTTCTTTTTTAAAATGTTATTATTATTACTTCTTTTGTTTGGCTATGTGAAATAAATATGTATTTCTAAAACTTACAACAGTTTTTCTTTCCTATATTTTTCGGTTTCTTCTGTTGAGGGTCACGTGTGTTTACGCTTTTGGACAATTTTCTTTGATGTCAGGTATCTTACGAATTATAATTGTTTTCAAGCAATTTTGAAGCTTCGGTCGGTACTTCCGTATTATACGAATCACCTTTTTTCCGTAATTGAAAGTCGCCCTGGTTACTCATTTCGGTTATGTCTCGGTTATTATTTATTTAATATTATAACACATGTCGTGTCAGACTCCTGATGAAAATTTTAAACTGAATTCGAGAAATTGACGTGTTATTTATTTTCTAAAAATGCAGATGAAATATTACTTTTCTATTATCAATCGTTACTCTTTGGGGTAAATGTAGACACCGAATAATCATCAAAATTGTTTCTCTTCCGAATAAATTATTAACAATGAAATAGTTGTGTCGATCATAGTTAAGAAATAAATTATACGGCAAGGAGTTAATATTTTATTCCTTAAAAAAAAATGTAATCAACGTAACAGCGCTGTTTCATTACAACGTGGTTTTTCTCGAATTCTATAAAGTATTTTTCATTGATTCATTTTAACGTTCGATAAACGGAGTCTTACTGTACTATAAACTGTAACTAAGTCTGCAATCCAATACACATAACTGGAACAAGATGTATTTTAGTTGACTAAAAGTCACAAGCTTTTTCACCCATGTTATTACGTAATTTCGATACAAATATTTCGATAATCGGAATCTATATTCACCATTTTCAACCCCTGTTTGTATGCATCAGTAAGGACGTCACTTCCAGCACTTTGATCGGTAATATAAAGATAAACTTGTAATATTGTCGATAAATGTATTATCACTATCTATCGCCCCATTGATATTGCTTATTTGTACAAATCTACAGTTCAAAGATAGTCAACTGTGTACGGATTAAATCGTCAAATTCGATTCTCTCAGTTCATCATGAACAAGGTAGGTATTCCAAAAAGTGTATAATTTTTGTTGAAGTTAATAGTAAAAGTAGACATTACTCTTAAATATAACTACATTTAAAAAGGAATAATGTTATATATTTTCTTAACCCCTTGCCCTACGATTTCATTTCCGTATTACACTTGTTAAAATTATTTATCGTTAATACTGCAGTAGTAAACAATAAATTCCATGCTCTTTCTATGTTTAAATTTACTTTAAAGCATACAAATTGCTAATAACAAACATATTGTTTCATTCAAACTCAGAAGAATCGAATGATGTTAACATCTATTAAACAATATTGAAAATCTTTCTCCACAATCAATAGCTTGTTAAAGTTTCGTCGATGTCAGCATTTAAACAGGTTTAATATCGTGCAATGGTTAGTCTCAGTTTAACAAAGAAATATTACACGATGCCCCACAATTTCAACACGAGCATTTGGCTTTCGCATGGTACGTCACTGTCTGCACTTGTACTGACCTGACTCACGTGCAGTATTATTGACGGTTCTGCGTTGTTCAGAGAGAGGATTAATTGTTAATAAATTGCGAACAGAGCAATAACCGCACTTCTATTATTCCTGAACTTCGTTTCATTTTGGCCTGTGGAATCATTACAAAAATGTCCACGCAAATTCAAATGTTATTTCTAGCATTTCATAGAAAATTATAAATGAATTTGTAAAAGATTAATATAAAATTTTAACACTACATAAGACAACCACTGGATATATTATACATAGGATAATATTAGTAAATGCAAATTTTCATTCTTATTGGTGAAAAAATGAGTAAAAATGCAGAACAGAGTTAACATCTGTTAATATTTAAGTTATTAATTACTTCAATAACAATTGGTCATAAAATAATTTTTTCTCCTACAGAATAATTATCATTTGTTTAATACTTAGAATTAGACAGCTTATTCACAAAAAATGATTTACATTCAAAGAATACGAAATTTTCTAAAAAATTTTCTATCGAATAAAATTCATAAAAGATACTGTCGATTGAAAGGTAGGAAAATGAAATATTGATACATATGATTAAAATCTTATGTTCATGGCAATGATATTTTCACTTGAATCAAAATTTCTTTAAATATGCATACTACAAAGAATATTTTGATCCTAATTTCCAATAATTAATTATGTGGTCTATAATTAGTTGTGTAGCATATGTAAGAACATATTTTTTATAATTAATAACAGTCTTAATTTTAATTTTAATTTTCTCTCAAATATTAATATTTAGTTTTTCATTATAATTAATATTACAACTACAGTGCAACATTTTATGTATTTATAACAAAGTTTTTACAAACTTTACCAAGATAAAATGGTCATTATTTTAAATAAAGATTTTCAAATGAAGATAATTATATACTGACATATTAATAAAAAAAGAAACTAATCATATCCGAAAAACCGTAAGATATTTGTCAAACTTCTTCTGTGTTCTACACAATATTTGTCAAGAAGCTAATTTCTATCTTAATTATTTGATTCCATTATTATTACGGATAGATAATTCTGAAAATTATACAATAGAAACCAATCATTTCAACAACCTCTTTTTCAAGTTAAATATAAAAAGGTCCTAAAATAGGAACTAAAATTCTATATAATTTTTATTTGTATATATTAATCTGAAAGATCTGAAATTTGCAAGAACATGTAAGATATATCTAACATATCCGAAATGAAGAATGAAATATTGTATATTAAAGAAATTCTTACAAGAAAGGGTGAGTCGTCGATACGTCTCTTAAGATCAGCGCCTTATGCACGGGACTGTACGTAAATTTGTATCAATTGCCGGTACAGCTGCTTCAATTTATTGTGGGATTAGAAACAATGAGTGGGGTCAAATGGTCCCTTCTTGTCATAATGTACCAACCCTCGTTGGCATCTGTTCTGACGTCACTCACACGACCGAAATTATCAGCCGTCCATTTGTTTTCCAACCGTTCTGCTAATAACGGTGTCTTTCTGCTAACTCAAAAAATACACTGCACGTCATCTATACAGTATACATAATTTAACTGTTTTCATCATTTATTTCCTTTTCAAATTACACAATTGAATAATTTAAT